CCTCACTCAATGTCAGGCTCTGGACCTGTGAATGCGTTAAACACGCAATAGTCTCCACCCTTTTTAGTTCAAAGATATGAAAATTGTTGAAAGCAAGTGTTTTATTACTGCTTTCATATACCGAAACAAGTTCAAGCCCATCAACTGAACACTTTCCATTAATAATATTGTAATTGTCTCTTAACATTATGTGCTCCTGCAGTGGTCGGGTTGCTGCAGATTTCAAACTGTGTCCATGTCAAGACTCTTAAGAAATAAGGTTCCCCCAAACAAATAATTTGAGTATGTGACTTGTAGGCTATTGGGATGTTCACAGAATACTAAATGACATCAAGTCAGATTTTCCCTTGGAACAAATCAGCAATATTCAGTACACTTCTTGATCTTATAATAATAAAAAGCAAAACTTCAAATAAAACTCTTTGAAAGAAGTGATCAGAACTTCTCACAAAAAGTCACTGTCATTGTCATCAAAGAGCTGGAAGAGTAAAAGGTCAGAGGTGAAAATTGTCACTGGAGAATTAATATACTGAAAGTCACTGCAGCAAAGAGCTTGCACTCCGATATACAGAAATTTGAAATTCTTCAAGTCATTAGAGTCTCCAGCTACTATGGAAAATAAAACCCATTCCCTACATTGAAACTGAAGCAACAGATGAAACATGTTAATGTGCATCAAAAGCAGACAATCGGAGCCAAAAGCAGAGTCTCCCGAACCCCGTAATGTCGAAATATACGGCAGCTAGAAAGAAAAATCATGACCTGGACCCATGACCTTAACTAAAACAGCAGTGTGAACAATATAATCCAGTTGAATAATAATTAGAAAAAAAAAAGGAATAAAAACTAAACAAGATCTACGTAACATTTATTTATTTAACTAGATACAATGAAAGAAAATCTCTTTATACCATTTAAACTTCTTCCTGAAAATTGAAAAAAGCATTAGGAGAAGGGGAGGGTGGGGGAATGAACAAGTACCTCTTTAATCTCCATGATAAATGAAATGATATGGTTCACAAAATAAAACTGTCTTAAATGAAAATACAAGTTCAGGCACTGATAAGGTATCACTCTCCCATCATGTCGTCTTAAGTCTTGAGAATGAAAAGGCCACACTATATTGATTTGTATAGGTCTTTTTCTTCATCTCTTTTTGTAGAAATTAAACACACAAAATGCTCTACCTCCCATTTGTGATTACATGTTGGTAAAAACCATTCACAACATGACATGACATGGGAATAACGTCACAATAACACTGTTTTGTTCTCCATATTATCCATTACCTTACACCCAAAAGCCGACGTCTGCCTCCAAAATAAATGTGCAGGTTGCTAAAAGTGAGCTGCACACTGAGAGCCACTTGGTTGAGGGCAGACATTAGGAAAAGGTGAAATGAAAACTACTATACTGGGAAAAAAAAAAAAAACCCGGAACATGACTTTGAAAATGAAGGTGATCCATATTTGTATGGTAGCTACATTCAAAAACCAGTTGCATAATTACTGTTCGAGACAAAAATCCCTTTCCACATTTTTCAATGCTTCACTGCTAAAGTAAGAACACTTCAACAGGACTGTGGCACAAACGCTGTCCACAAACCCCCAAATGGAAAGAAAAAAGTTCATCTGGGTAGCTGATGATAAGCCTTACAACTAAAACTGGAATAAAGGATACACCAAACGCTGTTGACCCTTGTCCTCTGCCATCCCGGTTCAAATTTGAATTAATTTTTGAAAAATTTCATTTAAATGTCAAATATCCCCTTATACAGCTCATCTACAATACACTCTAAACTTCAAACTAATATTGCCATTTATGTAAAAAATCTACAATGTATAGACTAACAAAAAATATATATATTTATATATATTTAATTTTTGAAAAATGAAACAGAGTAATGTATGAAGTGAATTTACACATCACACTTCTCTCAGTAAGAATTGTGATAAACTTACTCAGGAGGAAGGTGAGGGGCTGCAATTCAGTGGGAATGCTCGTTTAGGAAAAGAAAGCCTCCGTTACCCAAAGGTTTGTCTGCTTCAAACAACTGTGGATTGATGAGATCCCTCCATCAAAAGGAACCCAGATATCTTTTTTGTCTTTTACAGGTCATCAATTAAGGGGGGGGGGGGGGATTTGAGCTGTTGAGTCTGCTGGCATTGTCAGTATACCATTTCAAGTAAGTAAGAGCACTAAGTGGTGCTGATCACTTAGCAAGTGTCTCAAATGGCTTTTATACAAGACTGAATTGCACAACAGGTTGACACTTAACTTCCAGCCTTAACCTATACATACACTGTGCTTTGTCTTGTCCATGTATGCTTTAGTACATAAAGCAGTACAAAAAAATGAACCTATGACAAGGGGTTTCTGGAGTAACTGTAGAATTCGTGGTCAACAAATAGGAAGAACAGTTTTGTAGTTGACAGACTCTACCACTTGGATAATTCATAACCTTCAAGGAAGGAGTCTTGTATTCCAAGTCTCATAGGTGTCTTGTGGGATGAGACCGGGCTTCAGTCAGAGACTGCCTCTAGGTCAGAGTGCCCGTCTTTTTATAAGCTGCTTTTGGACTGTCAAAACTTTGACCTCTGCCTTGTGACCGTTCCTTCGCCTTCCCCAAACATTTGCTGATAAGATCAAGGAAAGGTCACTGAATTTAGATAATTCAACTTCAACTATGGGCTTGGTTACATAACATATGTAAGACTGTACCATCACGCTGGGAATGACATATATTAAAAATAATTGCTCATACACATAAGCAATCCCTCACAATAAATGTTCCTCACATGTAAAGCAATTTGCTTAAATGTCAAATAGAAAACATGTAACAATTAGGCACAAATCCTTGATTCAATTTGTGTTTGTTTAGGTCTCCTTTCTTTCACAAGAGCACCTCTCGGCAGTGTGTTAAGTCCCAATTTGTGGCAGGACAAAAAGTACTCCGGTGTTCCATCATCTTGTGGAAACCAAGAAGAGAGAAAAAAAAAAATCTTACATGTATAAAACAAAGCAAAACTAAAAAAAGTTCTTCACATTTGAGCTTGTAGTCATGGTTGGGAGTGCGACAAACAGGCTGTGTCAGTTTTGGCAGTATGCATGTGTGTACGAGTGTGTGAATGTGCATCTTGAAACTTGAACGGACAATACACAGACATGTCCACATATACACACACACACTGAGAATAATGGGTGGAAGAAATCTTTTAAGGCCACATCCTCTGACAGCCAAGGAAACACCACCAGATCTGTAAATAAAGAAGACCACAAACGTTACGTTATAGTATTCCTATATAAAAAAGGACAACACTGAGCCCACTGACTCCTACAAACTAGTGCATTCCTCATTTTAAGTTATAATAAAAAATATGTTCATGAAATATTGTTGGGAATTACATACATTTTGTAATTGTGTTTTTATATAGTCGTTTTCATTGTTTGTGTCCACACTTGCTGTTACCACAAGTAGCTGACATCTTAAATATTATAACGTTAATATAACTGTGTGTAACATACTCTGAGTTACATCCTTAATAATTACTTCAGTACCCAATTTTCAAGACCTACCCGGTGTTACATGTGGCCAACTGGGTTGTGGCCATCTCCTCCCATACTAGGATGGCCGCCTGAGAGCTGCATGGGGGCTTCACCCACCACCCCAGAAACCTTCTCCTCCTCACGGCGTTTTAAACATGCTGCCTTGGGGTTAAGGTTACGCTCTGACAGAAAAAGGGGAAAACAGAAACAGGCCCTCTCAGTATAAAATAATAAACTGTGTATTAAACAGAGGAAGGTATAAGTGTGCTTCTCATCCATGGTGTGCTTGCATGCAGACTGACCTCTCACTTGTTGTTCTAAATTGAGGATGACATTGACGGCTTGGTGCAGGATGAGAAGTTTGGTCTGAGGTTTGTCATGGCTGAGGTGCAGCTGGCACATCCTCCCAAGCTCCTTAAATGCCTCATTGATGTCCCGTACTCTGAGACGTTCGCGGGCATTGTTAGCCACTCGCCGTTCCTTCTCACGCTCTATCTTCACCTCAGGAGGAAGGTCCTCGTCATCTTCCTCTTGACTAGTTATAAATGGAGATGAAATTATCAAGCCACAGGCAAGAGGAAATTTCATAGCATACCATCAAACACATTAGTGTTCATGCTACCTCATGACTAGCATTTAACTGCTTTAAGTTAAGCATCAATAGCAGGGACTGTACACTCAGCTTTGGAGTAAATGGATGCACTAAAAAGACGACATGTGAGAAGTAAAATGCACACTATATAAGAATGAATGCAGGAAAAACATTAAGGAAGCAGCATCTCCCACTTCTGATGATCATTTGATCAAAATGTTTATCCCACAAAAGTTTGATATGTTCACTTTCAGTAGTATACTACGCTGTGTGTGTATTTGTTTGCTGCTGTTTGAAAAACAAATTGTGTTGTCAAAACCTTGTTGTGTTATATGCCTTCTAGTTGTACTGTTTGGTTAGGGGTAAATGTTTTTTGTTGTTTGTTTTGTTTAGTTAATAGTTTTGCCTAATGCATTGCCATTTTAAATTCAAATTTCAAAACTCCAGTGCAGCATAACTACAGAAATGTCAAAAGTCAGTGATGGATAATAAAGTTGAGAATGTCATAAAATGTCACTACAATGACTGTGCCAATTAAAAGCCAGATTTTAGACACCAGCTCAATGAACATGTGCTTTAAGTGAGCCCACAAAGCACAATAAATTGATCCTCTATTGGAGAAACTTACTCATCATCTCTCTGGTCTGAAAGGCTAGAGAGCATCTGGAGGGTCAACGCCTCCTTTCTGAAAACGTGAAATGAAGGGAAGGGGGATTTCAACATTGTTAAATACCTAACATAGTCTGGGTAATCGGTGGGACACACAGGACAGAGGAGATGACTAAGATGAAACACATTGTCTTTTAACAGAGACTAAGGTAACAGCTGACATGTGGAACCTTGCAGCAGATATTTCCAATATCAAATGGGTTCCTGTATATTCTCATACTTGGTAATTGTGTCAAGAACATCTCCACCTTTAGGGGAAAGAATAGTTTGGATTTGTGTTTTAATCAAAAACTTTATAAAAACAGATTTTTACTGTTAAATTCAACTGCAGAGTACAAAAGTACAGTAAGGACCACCTTACCTTGTTCGACTGCGCGCTACCTTGGAGTCCTTCTTTTCATCCTCAGACTTGTCTGCGACAGATGAGTTTTCATCGTCCTCTCGATCTTCTCTTTTGATGTCTGAGCTGCTGGATGAGTGTGTGGAGCGCGCCATACCACCAGGGAGGCCTAGGGTCAAACTCAGATGTGAGGATACTACCATGATTTCGTAAAATACAAGACATGCTATTATGCAACAATTGCCATGCTCTACTGTAAGCAACAAGATATTTAGCCGAACTTACTGGTAAAGCCTTCCGGTTGGCCAGCTGACGGTGTGGGTCCGGATGCGTGATGACCGTGCAGAAGAGTGCTGCTGGGAGGAAGGCCTGTGGGCTCTTCATGTTTTCCTCCCTGCTGATGAAGAGGGAGAACCATGATGTGAATCTCACAAGGACAGACATTTCACAACTTCACCCCTAAAAAAGGTTCCCAAAATTAAATATCTTCATCCAACTTGTTGACAAAGTAATAGAGTAGCTACAGAAAAAAACAAAAACTTGACGTCTACAACTGTAAGAGAGCAAATACTTACTTAATGGTGTAGATTACTGAAAATGTTATATATGTTGTTTGCTAATATTAGTTGTGTAACTAATGTGACTTACTCACTAAAAATGATGTCTTAAAATACTCTTTACTTCCAATTGCTTGCAATGTTACTGTTGACCAGCAGATGGCACACATTACTGATTTGACATGTTTTGTTCATGGAAAATGTAATGCAATTTTGATTTTCTTCCCCCCAAAATGTTTCTAGCCAATTGAGAACAGAAAAGGTAGTTTGTTGTGCAACATATAAATATAAAATCAATGTATCCAGTCAGCCTAAAGTTATCAGATACACAATAAATCAAAGTGTATTGTACTCTTCTTGAAAGACATGTTACAAACAGCATGTAGTATCCAACGAAGGTTAAAATCGAGGGCAACTGGACTTGGTTGAAGATACTGGAAGACGTTTCGTCCCTCATCCAAAGGACTTCTTCAGTTCTGACTGACTGGCAGGGAAACTCAGCTATTTAACCTCAGTGGGGTCGTTGGCCCGGGTCATCGATACCGCTGGTTCGTTAGTGTTCCTTGTTGCTGTGACGACAGTCGTTACAGTCGTTAAGACTACCTGTGGCCAAGACTGAACGACCATCGTTGGTATCTTCACCTGAGGCCAATAGGTTACGTTTGTTGAGTTTCCTGGGAAGTGATGAAAGGACAGCATTGTAAGTGGGGGATAAGTGGTGGCGTAGACCCCCTCCCCTGTTCAATGACGGCTTCTCAACCCTGGTGTAGATGGCTTCCTTGACACCTCTTTCAAACCATCCATCTTCTCTGTCTAAAATGTGCACCTGGTGGTCCTCAAACGAGTGTCCTCTGTCCTTCAGATGTAAGTAGACTGCAGAGTCTTGACCTGAGGAGCCTTGACCTATTGGCCTCAGGTGAAGATACCAACGATGGTCGTTCAGTCTTTGCCACAGGTAGACTTAACAACTGTAACGACTGTCGTCACAGCAACAAGGAACACTAACGAACCAGCGGTATCGATGACCCGGGCCAACGACCCCACTGAGGTTAAATAGCTGAGTTTCCCTGCCAGTCAGTCAGAACTGAAGAAGTCCTTTGGATGAGGGACGAAACGTCTTCCAGTATCTTCAACCAAGTCCAGTTGCCCTTGATTTTAACCTTCGTTGGATAACTATGACCTGGATGACTGAGAATCTTCATAGACAGCATGTAGTATGTTTATTTTAACCTCAATACAGACAGTTTCCCCAGGCTTAAATGACTGGTGGAATGACCACGTACCAGGGCTGTGCAATATGACCATATATATTGTTTGACGACAGAAAAACATCTATCATTTAAAATTATGGTTTATCGTACATTTTGTTTTGTTGCAAATTCAACACTTTGAGGGGAAGATGCTTTGGAGTTGTATGTTCTTCCACATGTGCCAGTGTTGCAGGGAAGAAATGTGCATTCACAATAAACAAACGTGGAGAAGAGTGAAGTTTACTGAGAACTGGGTAAAACTGGAGCTGCTGTGCTGTTCTGGGACCGTCTCCTCGGCTCATGTTAGCTTTGCAACAGCAAGTAATGACAGTGTGCTAACCCACAATGTTGCTAACATTAGTTAGTTTCACTCTATATCATGGTATTTTTCATGGTGTGGATATGACATTTTAGTCATATCGCACAGCCCTAGCATGTACTACTCCTAACTTCTCAATCTCCACTATGACACTATGAAAACAAACTCCTTTCAGAGAGGTTTCGGAAGAGTTGACAGATATGACTTTCGTGATAAAATTAACCAAAAGCACAAATTAATACATTTTGTTTGGTTCATATTGTTGTCATACAGCCTCCATAGTCCATGTCGCTTTCAAACACACACAAATAAAACACAATTTGAGCAGAGTAGGTGACTCACCATGGCAGGATGTCTGTTACTGAGGGCAAGGCTAGCATTTGGGAAAGCTGGAGAGAGGGCCCCGAGGCCCCCGTTGTGTACTGCGGACAGCAGGCTGTGCATGTCGGAGTGGGCGCCCTCTAAGCCTGGGCCCTGGCCCACAGCATGGCTACGCAGTACATGGATGGCCTCCTCCAAACGGTCCTCCAATTTACTCTGCTATAAGATACCAAGAGACATGCACATCAATATGACAAACAAAATACAAGAGACTGCTTATAAATACACAATATGTTTTTGAGAAACTAATGATCTGAACAATTCATTTTTACTTTACTGTGCACGTAACTAGGCAAACAAAAAGCCGGAACAATATATTATGGAGACTGCTTGCTTCAAATTAGCTTTGATGTAGCAGAGAAATGTTTCAACATACCAGTGTGTGTGGTTGGTTTTCATAGCTGGGTGTGGTTGGTCTTTGCCACTGAGACGGAGTTCCTGCAGAGAGAAATATTGGGTTAGTGTATAGTGGTAATTCTTTACTTGACAGCAGATGGAGCTGCAGACACATGTCTCTGCTAAAGAACATTAAACATGCAGAGGATCATTTTTGCTCCAACAATTTCAACTGATTCATGTGTGCCAAAAACAAGGTAGCAATCAAACTGAACAAGTTAAATAAATTGGACTGACGTCGGAATTCTGTGGCTTAAATTGAAATATAACCAAATTTGTGGTTGCAGGATTGAGAATAAAGCACAGGATAAAACCACCTGAACTCAGTTTACCAACCTTCTGATTGGCTAAATTTACTCTGCAGTTAGGCTGACATGAATCTTACATCCAAGGGAGATAGTGCCTAACTGATGCGAGTAAAATAAAGATCTTTTGAAGAATAAATGTGTTTATGAAAATACAGATGTGATTTATGTTGGTGCTTAAGATGACACATTTCAGGGTGATTGGCGATGAATGCCCTTTACTGCTTTTAATTTCCTCTACAGATTAAACCCATAAAGGTTTGGCTTTTCATATAAGTAGCAACAACTTGTCGCTCTGTATGTGATTGTAGATAACTGGACTGTACCTGCAATAGCCTGAGGAGATCCAGGAGTAGACGGAGCTGAAGGGAAGTTATTACTGTTGTGGTCCGACGGGTAAATCTGAAAGAATTGTTCAAAACAACATTTTGGCACAACTGAAGAATACATAACATTGATTTTCAGTGACATTTAGTCAAACAGAATGGATCAGACTAGCGTTGGGCAACATGGCAGAAAAAGTCATCCAATGCTATGTTTTCTATGTAATGATTCAATATTGATCTCGAATCAGTCATATGCCATGTCATAAAACATTTATTTGTAGAGTCAAAGAGTTATAGCAAATTAAATAAGAAATTATTAATAGAAAAATTAAACCTTGTTGGGCAAATGTAATGCTTTTATCGCAATATATGAATAGGTTTCAGAGCCCTGGGTTTATTTGTGGTAGATTTGCCAAAATATTGACTTGAGAATTGTTATTATCCACAGGTATACAAAACACAATGCATGGCACTTCAGTCTACAACAATTATTAGGTCCTTAAATTTCACTGTTTTGTCCTTATTGCGATGTGTCTTCAGTATATTTTATAATGGACATTCATCTGTTTAGGATCAGACAATGAACAACAAAAATAATGCTAATCTACTGATGGAACATTTTTTTTCAGTGTCACCATCCTAAGTTGAATTTGCAGATTTTCACTCTCAAAAGGAAATAAAAAACTCTTGGGAAAATTACTGTAATTGTTTTAATGCCCAGCACTAATTAAAAAAAAGAAAAAGAAAAAAGAACTCACTGAGGCAAGAGCCTTCCCAATTTCATCTCCTGAACTGCCAGCTGTGGTGCCTCGGTTGGCTGCAGAGACAAAATAAATAATGTGAGTCAGATGACCCGTTAATTTGTTTTTGGGAGAGAGAAAAAATAAAAAGTAAAATAAATCAAGTGACCATGGCAGTTTGATCGGACAGACGCTACCAAGATACTTGCATTATAAGTTCTATTTTAACAGTTCCTTACCCATGATGCCTTCTCCGTTGATGGTGGGTGTGTGGTTGTAGGTGGTAGGGGCTGAGTGGAAGCCGTTGACTTCGCTGCCGTGCAGAGGATAGTTCTGTGGGGACAGAGGCAGGGGTTGGCGCGTCTGGAAAAAGGGTACAAGTAGCTTCATAAGGCACAAACACCCCTCACAGAAAAATAAACCACTTATTCAACTGTGCCCAATCTGAAATGTTACCAGACAATTCCGATAATGTGGTTTTATTCAACAAATATTTTTTTTTTTTTTTTTTTTTTAAAAAGAGCACATGCTGATCTCTTTGTTCAATTAACTTCCTTACAATAAACACTAGAAGATATATACCATTATAAAAGAAAGCAAAAAAATTAAAATACATAAATAACGGACATGGAATAGAGAAAAAACTAAGAGCAAGAAGGTTAGAATGGGATTGAGGTAGTTTCTACTCACCATCCTGTCCTGTGGGTTAATTGCAGAGAAGGAGCCTGGCTGTCCAATGTGGGGAGAGTTACCCAGCATGGCAGAGTAGCCAGAAGACGACCAGGGGTCTTCTGAGAAGGGCGTAGAAAACATTTGAAGATATGAAAACGCCTTCAAAAATAGGATTACATAACAAATGATTTCCAGTGATATTATGTGAAAGGTTACCTTGCATATAGAAAGATCCAGGGAAGACAGCTCCCGGCTTAGCACCAGGATATCCTCCATTGTCTCTGGTATACTCATCACCAGATGTAGAAGCATACACCTAAACAAACAGACAGGGAGGACAGTTAGACTGTGATTTCTTTAATTACTACTTGTCCATGGATATTTCTTGATTCTGGATTTTTTTTTTTTTTTTTTTTTTTTTAAAGGTAGTGTTCTCCTGTTTAGCCCTGAGCATCACGACAGATGAATTAGTAAATGTATCAATCAACCCTACCCCTGCTTTTGAAAACCATTTAATTATACTAGCTTCAAGTGGCCACAAGAGGGCAAGAGGGAGTCTGTCAGCAGTGGAGGCAGGCCGGCTCCTCGCCTGTGGAGGAGAACACAGCGGCCATGCCATGCTGGGCACAGCGACGGCTTGAATCCCAGTGCACAGTGAGCACTTCCTCTAGCTCCCAGGACCCCAGTGACATCGCACTGCCTGGCCTGCAGCCCCTCCCTATAACACACTCCATATCCACTCGCACACATACCATGCATTCAAGTGAGCCAACACACACACACCCATGACACAACACTCCACTAGCAATACCCTCTAACTAGTGCTATCACATTCTTTATGGCATCAAAAGGGGATTACATTACAGAAAACACAAACTTGGGCATTTTATATTAGCAGCTTAAAGAGTGCAGTCACACAGCCTTTCTACATATTGCTAACAAAGATGGATGCTGGGCCTCAAGTGACACATCTCTGCGCTCCAAAGCCACAGACTGAAGATGGACATGAGAAGCCCTCAGTTTCCTGACACCATCAGCCACCACTCAGTCCTCTCATCCTCTGTAGTACATGGCAGATAGAGGAAGAGAGAAAGAGAATGGAGGCTATGCTGCAAAGAATGCTAATCCAGAGAAGGGATTTTTTCTGTAATTTGATTTAACAGGGAGAAGTGGAAAGGGAATGGAGAGATGCACTTCTAATTACAGAGCCATCTGCCTGTTCCTGGACCACATCCAACTCCACAGGCAGCTGGGCTGAGGAGAGGGAGCGAAGAGAGGGAGAGAGATGGGGGCTGGGATCCAGTCAGCGAGAGAGAAAGAGAGGGAGAGAGAGACTGCAGTGGGTAGGGGGTGGTAAAGGGGCAAGGGGGAGGATTGAGGGGGAAAAATGAAGGCCCTGATGATTTATGAAATGGGTAGAGAGATAAGGGGTGTTGAGGGGGGACAGGAGAAGGTAATCTAAATGACTTAAACAAAGCTTGATATGGCCAGGGGAGTGTGAAGGAAACAGGGGATTTAAAATGATCACGGTTAATTCAGGGGAAAACATGACGGAGATGGCTTCATTTAACAATAGGCTTTGAGTTGTTCTTTCACGGGGAACAATGTCGAGTGAATCCTGCTGCTCTAGATGGGAACAGAGAACTACACAATGAACGGTGCTGCTGGATAATTGTATTCTCAGGAAGAAAGGAGATTTCTAGGGTAAAATCCTCAACTAATAGGGGTTTAATGTAATTCAGGTTATGACCGTGTAAAGGTCTCTATGCTAGAAAAACATGGATTGTGGCAAGAGGTGGGGAGTAGATGAAGATTAACATCAAACTAAGCTCAAACCGCTTTATTCAACCACGTGGGTTTTGTGATTAGTCTACAGGACAACTAGGGGGCAGAAGAGAAGTTCCTCTATGTAGCAGGTTAGAGGGGGTAAAGGTTCACAGGGAAAGGCCAAGGATCTTCTGTACAGGTAAGGGTGGGTTACAGAAGTCAGGGTGCTTGAAGGGAAATGAGAAATGGCCTTTGCAGTCTAGCTATTATTTGTCCATTTACATGATTTAAGTAACAAAAGTAGATAAAGCAAAAAAAAATAAAAAGAGGTTTAAAGGGTGGTGAAGAGAAACAGGAAGGGAGGGTATGTGGGAGGGAGGAAAGACTACAGGATCATCATCGGCAGTCATTAATCTGGGCTCAGACACGGGGCTAAGAGGCCTCGCAAGCACCGCGCCTCACAACTGGGTCACTCACAGGGGGAGGCCCACCCAGGCCATCATGTGGCGAAGCGTAGGCGGAGGGCTGGGTGAAGTGGGGGAGGGGGGTTCACACACACAGAGATGTCTCAACATTCGCACTAAAACCACGCGGCCATCGTTCACACTGTGGGAAATCACTGAGGTTTAGACAGTGAAAAAGAGGGGCCCTATGCCAGACATAGTGTTTACACTCAATCTCTGTGATATAGTTGCAGTGGCGAAGCATTTCTGCAGAGGTTTCAGCAGCCACTTCAACGGGACAACACCCACAGGTGGAGGACAGCACCGAGGTCATTAAAATAACTAAATAAACTGATTCCTTCAAGAAATGAGCTCAGCAGTAAGGTCCGACTCTGATCTGTCTGCATACTGACTATTAGTCGATCTGAGATGAATCAACCTAATCTTTGCAGCCGGCTACAGTAGTTCTGCATCTGCAACTTCATCTCAAAGTAAGATAGAATCAGAACGCAACACTAGCAACGCTCGACTTCATTTCCTGCCAGATTACAAATCCATGGCTCCATGATTTGGACCCATTCAGCCATTTAAATCCATTCAATTTACTTCATGCATGCGTTGAAAAAACATCAACACAAGTCACGAGTCCATTTTCTATTTAACTTTTGTTGTTATCAAAATTTGTGCAACATTTACTACGATGATGAGGTCCATGGGGCAAAGACAGGGAGATATGTGAACCAGGAAACCTTATATTTTCTTTAAATTTCACAACATAAAAGCACATGCAATATTTGAATTTCTCTATCCTCTGCCTGTGTTGCTTCATGGTGCCGGGCTGAAACACAGATGCCATGAGTGAGGCAATGCAAAGTGGTCCATACCCAGTTTATGTTTTAGGTCACTCTTGTCATCTGAGAACTACAGCAGCGTGAGGACTGGGTTACAGAAAATGTTTGTGTAATGGCACTATTTCATTATGATGATCCAGTAGCAGCTCAATCAGCAAGACCGGGCTCTAATAGCAACAGTAACACACAGTCAACTGCCCAGTAGGGTCCATCTGACTTGAAATGTCATGTTTGCCATCTTACAAAGCCATGCATCTGTTGGTTCAGGATCACAAAGAACTGTCATATTAAGAGGAGTTGGTAAAAATGCTTTGTGGTACTCAGATTGAACAAATGGCCTCTGAATCATCTATAGTAGCTGAAAACTGTATGGAAGGAATCCCAGAGAATCAGCACATGGGACTCAAATTTAGCCAATAGCAATAATCTATAAATGGGATGACGTGGGCAACTGCAGCCTGATTCAATAGTTTGTCAAGTCACTTCAAACTAACAGTGAGATTCATTCAGTATATATTCAAACGGGTAACGGTGACTTGTGTTTCCAGCTATGTGTGGTTGCAATCATCCACACACATCAGCTGCTGGGAATTCTGGGCCCACTGACAAAATGCGACACTTGCTTCAGTAAATCAGAGCACTATATGATACTTCATATTGCTTCGGACTGGACAGGGGTTTGATAGCACTACGCTGAATCCAGTATCAAATCCACTTCACAAACAATTTTAAAGGAACAAAATATAGAAATAACTTTGACATTTAGGAACTAAAACTCCAAAACTGGTATTCAAAGAAGTGAAACCTTGGCCAAACATAAATATTTGCTATTTAGCCATTAATCTTCTGAAAAAAGGAAGAAGAGATAAAAGATTCAGTAGGAGATTGGTATGACTCTGGGCTTAACAAATGCAGGTATCTTATTACCAACTTTGAAGTTGATCCAAAATTGAACCAGAAACCAGAACCTAACTCACTTGGACCCCTCATGCATTGGCCACCGGAAACATGTGAACTTTCATTAGCCAAATCCCAAAACCTCTGTGTTCCTACAAAACTTACAGGAAAGGATAAGTTTCTAGACTTGACAAAGTACCTCAAAATCCTATAAAATTGCTCATCTAAATAACAACCAGACCCTGAACACCACTTGAAACCACTTGAGTGTAGTGTAGAGACAACCACAGTGATGATGTTTATTGGGGCCTGAGTTGCCTAACTGTCAGCTCACAGAGTCTAACTGAGCAGAGGGTCTTTACCCCTGTCTGTCACAGAACTGCTCAAGCAGAGTAGGGAAAGCAGTGTGTACGTATATCTGTGTCTGTGCGTCTATGTGGGTAGAGAGCATGAAAGAGAGAGAAGGGACTGGCTGTGAGCTGTGAAGGCGAGCAGAAATAAGCTCTCACCGAGGATGGCAGGCCAGGGGGTTTCCGAATCTTCTTTGGCTGGGTGTCTACATACAGGCAACCAGAGACACAGAGAAAAGGTGAGAGACAAAAACCACAAATTAGGACTTTGCAAAGACAGATTTGCCAAGGTTATGTCGGTTCAGGTGCAGTTTCATCGTGTTCTCCAATTCCAACTGCAGAACAGACAACACTGAACACACTGCAGCATACGTGAGTTCAGTGTGGATGTGCACGTCTGTCGGTGTGAATGAAGGTCGCTGTGCATTCATCTGTATATAGCTTTATATTAAGAGGATTTATCAAATGCAGAAAATTACTACAAACCAAAAAAATATCAACGAGATCGCAATCAAATTTGTCGATTATTCAGTTAGTTGATGATTAAAATAAAAAGACAACCATTTTAAATATTTGATTAATCATTTAACCCAAATCTTAAGCAAAAATGTTTACTCGTTCAAATGTCTGCATTTTCAGATTTTCTTAGCCATAAAAATAAATATAATTGGATTTTGGTCCTTTCGTTGGAAGAGAAAAAAGTTTAAACAATTTGAACACATCACTGTGGGCTCACGCGAATTGTGAAAAAGATTTCTCTATTTTCTGACATTCTAGAGACCAAACAATCTGTTGATTAATAAAGAAAATAATCGGCAGATCAAATGAATCATCAACCCTTGTTAAAAGAATCAGAAAATAAAAACAAAGAAAGAGGGAAATGACTGGCCCCACAACATGGCCCATGTCTTGTTCAGTTATCTCACCTATGCCTCCATCAGGCGGCCTTCTCCTGGGGTTGTTGGGGTATGACGGGTAAAACTGGGAGCCAGATTTCAGGCCAGAGGGGGACATGGCATCTGGGCTGGGCATTGCTATGTCGCTAGGAAGAAAACCAGGCTGAGAGAAGAGAGGATGGAGAAACAAGGTTTTACTACTAATACTTACAGGGGCGTGGGAGAACACAGCAAAAAACAGCTTCTCTTCTAGGAAATGAAGACAGTTAATTCAAAGTGTTTTACATAAAAAGAGAAGTGAGAAAACAGCGCTTCCTTTACACTGACACATTATATGAATCTAGTTCTCTCGCACATACATAACCTTGCGGGGAGATACAAGGAATAAGCTAAATAACAACATACCTGGCTTCCAAAGGGAGGGTATGGAGGCCTCTCATTTTTACCTGCAAGATTAAAGTGAAGATCTTTTAAAAATAAATGCAAGTGAAGCCATGACATGTATACACACATTAAAAGGTAATGGTGTGTGTGGAAACAACTGAAAAGTAGGTTTTCTAAAGTACAAAAAGTCCAGAAATGCCCTCCCCTTTTTCAGTATGCTCAGCTGCATAAAGCCGCCTGCCAGACAAAACCCTAGGGAAGGTTTCTGCTTCAATGCCCTAACATCCCCAACACTCAACGAATGAACACAGGCACACACGCACGCACATACTTGCATGTAGACACATAGACATTTTGCCACCCAGTAAACAATTGGTCATAAAGTACGCACAACAGTCAAATCTGCCATTATCAACATGATTATTTTAACACTGGAGTGTGACACGGTAACATTTCCTCTGGCACTGAGAAGTAAATGTATATACTCAGTGCTAAAAAAATTAATCTAGCAATTTGTTACCACATAACAGTCACAAAAAAAAAAAAAAAAAAAGAACATACCTGCGACCCCTGAGCTGATGAACGGAGAAGACAAGCCTTCATGCTCACTGTAGTGGGATCCCTCCGGATAGCCCTGTAGGAAGAATGGTGCACACAAAACAACATGAGATGGTCCTCAGCAAAAGCAAAGAAAATGTAAATAAAGTCATGGCATTGGACAAACAAACTCCAACACACCCACAGACCTAAATGATAAACACGTTTTAAGGCCATTCCCATCTTGTTAGCACACCTATGTGACTTCACTTTCACTCCCTTCACTTTTCTATCTAACTAACAGGATCCATGCCAAACAAATCTGCATCAGCTCAGGGGATTCAAACTGACTTTCTTAATTATCAACTTGTGGTAATCAAAGCCTGCTGCATCTATTTCACCCTCTGTTCCTTGTATTTACACAGAGTTGTGCCAAGACAGTTACAGCGGATGTGAAGCTGCAATTACCGGTGGGCTTCCACAGAGGTTCTGGGCTACCAGAGAGCTTGCCAATGCAGGATCCTGAGCCAAGGTTATTAGGTAGAAAGTAAAACTACCACTTCAAAATCAAACACAGCATGAAAGAGTACTAAGCTGTTGTGGTTGTAGGGGGAGGTGGTGTGTGTGTGTGTTCATCTATGCGATTAACTGCACATGTGTGAGTGTGTGACAATACCATGGCATCTGGTGTTAATGCTCAGATCTCCAAACTTAAAATTGTGTGCGACTTAAGAGTGCGTGTGTGTATTTAGATCTTACCCGTCCTTGGCTGAAAGAAGAGCTGTTCTGTTCTGCCGAGCCCCAAGACCCAGAGCCGCTGCGCTCATCTAGTGCTGTAAAAAGACATATTGTTAAGATTGACAGGTAGACAGACTAGCACATTAGTCTGAAGTAAAGATGAAAGAAACAAAAACCAGGTTGGACTAATGTTGTGGACTTTGTTAACAATCCCTAAATGAGTGCATATACTTATTATCCTATGTGTCACTCCGGATATGTAGAAATGCCCTGATGGTTGGAGTCATATCAAGGGAACCTGTCATCACATCCTACTCTAAACATTCAATGTCCTTAAGTGGCCACATTGGGCGTGCAGAAGCCAGGAGAAAGCATCACTATTGATCAAAGACTGCTGCTGCCGCATTCAAGATGTAATGCAATGTTACACCATTTCTGAAAAAAAAAAAAACAACAAAAAAAAAAACAACACAACAACGTGGGAAATGCTGCTCAGTGTACCCATTAGTGTTTATTACGGTCACTGAGTAGCAGAAAATGAACCATTCACATCCCTAATGTAATCCAAGAGGATAAAATGTCATCTAAACCACATTTAAATGCCACTCAGTCAATTTGACATATACAAACAATATATAAAATAACACAAAACAAAATGTGTAAATCCAAAATATGAACCACAATGTTTTACGTAAAGAAAGAAACAATGTGTGTCACAAAGGAAAAGCACAGCCGAAAGACTGGTGGAGCAGAAAACTCCAATACCCCCATCATCCCCATCTCCCTGTCTTATGCACTAATGCTATCCAGGCTCTCTGGAGACACAAGCCTTAATTGCATGCTGATTTGCATAATTGTGCATATTAATGCAGTTTCCTTATGAATATTCATATTTCGTCTTTGATTTTTGCCTAATTAAAAAAATGTGTGTGAGAGAGAGACAGAGAGAGAGCGAGCACACAAGGGGACGAGAGAGGGAGGAACAAGAGGAAGGCAGAGTGAGAGGGGTCTGGGCGAGATCAGCAGCCTGGCTGACGAGTGAGAATGAGTGATGAGACTAACAGAGCGGTGCAAGCACCTACACACGCTGCGACAGCCGTGATCTATGGAGCTGATGCCAGTGGCATGGAGAATCAGGCAAGCAGGGAGGACAGGGGACCTCAAAAGATCAGCCTCGCTCACTGTCAGATCGGCCCTGCTAAAAGGCCACAGCACTAATAAAGCGCTGCACCACCGTCAACCATGTCCAATGGCACAGGACACTGGTGATGGGCTTGCTGCTAAATAAAGATGACAGATTTTGTATGAAGAAACTTCAGCCAATGCTTGGTGCCAGGAAAAGTAATATCAAATTAACGTGATAAAAATCCACTTTGGAGGAGAGACATCAACAATCAGCATGCCTACCTCCAGCCTAGCAATGAAAAGATGTGTTTTAACTCAAACACCTCTCTTTTTTCCACTTCAAGACACTCTAGCTCCATCCAACTTGCAGGTAGACCACACAGTATTTTTAAATGTACTACACACTGTGACAAAAACTGACAGGTAACCCACAAAATTACACATCACTGTCAACAATAGCCTGCACTGGGGAGAGCTACCTAGCCAACGAGTAGAGTTAAGAGAGTAACTTCATAATCTTCACAGCTATTTTCAATACACCACTCATCCGCCTGTGAAGCCTCCATTTGGCCAGCGGGGGTGCAGAGGATAGAGTGAAAGCACGGCTGTGCAGGAGAAGTCTGACAACATTGTTTCACACTTACTGGAGTAATTAACTCGGAGGCAATTAAAACAAGGTGGAGAGCTGCTGAGGTGACACTGACGCCCAGCCAGCCTACGAGAGCACAACTATGCCAGTGTAGAGATCCTTCTATTGTTGTTAATCTCTTGTCATGTGTAATATCGAACATAAACTGACAACAGAACCACAGACAATCAAAATGATGAAGTAATGCAAAATAAAGTTCTTAAAATGACCCACCAAGCTTCACACACGGTTTAAAAATGATCAACTGGTGCCACATGCTTCACTGGTCACTACATTTGAGATAATATTTACATCCTGGGTATGCTGCTGTGTTGCTCTCGGTTGCTCTACAAGCAAATAAGCAAGTTTAGTTGTAAAAACAAGATATGTACTGTTCAAAGTAGGTCAGTGATGTACTCCTACATCAATTACTTTGGCCAGTAAAAATATTTTTAGTACTTTGTTTTAAACCAACCCTTCGCCTGTGACCTAAAAAAAAATCCTCTCAACACTTTAAGAGTCTGCATTCTCAATGAAATTTGAAAAAAGGACAAACATAGATCTGCCCAATCTGGGCTTTATTTCAACCTTATTTCATCACTTACTTCTCTCTTAATCTTTTTATTTCCCCAGTTACATAGTAGTGCTGCAGTCCAACACATACTAAAACTACAACAGAGCTCTCACACTGCAGCTCCTCAACTGCAGGTGCCTTTTATATAGCTGCAATTGATTACCATGGACATACAATAGTCAATGTTATACCTGCGTAGCAGAGCTAACACACCTCCTTATATACAATCTTTTTTTAAACGTGGATAACATAAATGGGCTATTGTGTCACATTAATAATACAACAATAAAACTTATCATTCTGATACCTGTGTTAAAATTTTACTGGTTGACATTTCAACATTTTGATGCCAACTGTGGCCCCAAAAAATAAAATATTAAAAGATGCTGTACTAAATTTAATTGGCAGTCAATTTACACAGACTGTTTCATGTCAATATGCCTCTCAGTATGCTGTTCATACTTACAGGACATCCAGGATTATTTAAAGACAGCATCAAAGTATGTGAGCACTATAGCTCAAGCTAACTAACAAATCTAATACCGAAACATATGCCATCTTCAGACAATGGACAGTTAGAGTGGCGCTAAATACAGCTCAAAGTGAAGTAACTAATGAACCCTTTAATTGTCCACGAGCATGATTACAAAACTGGGAAAATAAGATTAAGACTGAAAATACGCTGAATTATCTACTAATTAGACATGCACATAAGAAATGTAAAATGCGTGTGCTCGGCATGAAAACAGCTTTTCCAAACGTATATCACATCCATCCAGATTTTGGCATGGCTACTGTGAATGTACTTCCAGTGAAAGTCACATGGCAAGACAAATACTGACTCACAACCAGAACCCAGAAAAATATTTATTTTCTGAGCCACAAAGCCTTCTAGCGGCTGCAGGCTCTGAAAACATCTAATTTATTTGAAGAAGGAAGCCACTCTCCTTTGAGATTTCCGCTTTCTTTCTGAGGGCTTAGATTTTCCAACTACAGTCCCAACAATGCACAGTGAATCCTGCAGGCGTGTGCAGGTATACAACTGAGGGTGCAAAAGTCAAACACATAGCTAGTAAGCTAGCTACCAAGAGAGACCACATGTGTAAATTCACAATGTTGTTTGTTGTGATCTAAAGGGAAGCGAGCCTGTCGCGTCCTGTGTATTTGTGTGTGTATGTGTGTGAAGGGGGTTGGAGACGTTGCCAGCAGCTGCAGAGGTGACAGAGGGGACGCCTGCCTGAAGGCTTGTGGGCTTGGCCAGCTCCCACCACACACCGTCACACTCTGCCTCCCGTACTTCTCAAACATCCCACACTTCTTGCCAATCCTCTCCTCTTTTCTCCACTTTGCCCGACACACCCTTCCCCACACACACAGACACACTGTGGCCACTGAGGAAGGGAGAAGGACATCTAATGCAATTAGCACCCCTCTGAGCACTTTTGTGTTGATGAATAGAGGTGGTCTGGTGGGCCACTAGGCTGCTCGCTGCCGTTCCCGCGCTGTTGGGTCCCTGGACAATGCTCTTTAATGGTCATCGTTTCTATAATAAATAGGTTTCCTGGCCTATGCTGAATTTTGGAATAATAAGCAATCTTTTGGTCAGAGTTTCAAAAGACAGTCCTGTTGCAGCCATTACATCTATATAAAAAACAAACATGTACACCCAATTTTAAGCTTCCAGTTTTCTTACTCATACATACAGTCTGTCGATTTGTGTTTTCTTCCTCATATAGACAGACTGTACTCAATGTACTATGTGCGTTTCAACATGACACAGATCTATGAGAAACTACAGGGCTGGAATTTGCAGATGGTAGCATTTTGACTCCCAAGTGCTACTAGAGGGTACCTGCAGATCTTAAAAGGGACAGCTTGAAGTATCGCATTAAAATGGGTGTCAATGACCAAGGGCCACACTTTAGGACATGAGGAGGGGGGAAGGAATTAACTCCTCACTGCTTCGTAATTGCCTGCTGTAATAGAAACAAACAGAATCCTGTCTTCCACAGGCTGATCCCGCTATTCAACAAGCTCGCTTTTCCACTCTGGCCACTCACTGCATGCTGGGCCAGTTTAAGAGCCTGCGAGCTGGGGGTGAGGGACATTGTCTCGGACTCAAGCCATTTCCTGCAGATCAGTGGGGGTAAGAGCCCTGTGCCGTGTTGGGGGAGGAGTGTTTTACACTTCAGGGTGGGGGAGTCGTTTCAAGTCCATAAGCCCCCTTTCTGCCTTTGTTCCTCAGTGGCCAAGTTCTCACTCTGGGGAACACTGGGGAGTGTGACTCGATTTCACACGCCAGGTTGGCAGGGTGACAAAGGAACGAAAGTAGCACGACTTACTAATAACATTCAGGAAGAGAGAAAAGCTCACTCAAAAGGCTTCGGGTGCTTGAGGTACTTTGCACTTTAAAATAGTTAAAGCGTTTCTAAAAGAAATGGGAAAACACGGTCGACAGATGTTAAAATAAACACTCACGTAAACATGAATAAATGCTCAGTTTCAATTCTTCACACAAAGAATACCCTGGGTCTGGTAAGGTTTAAGCTACAGTCTTTTTCTGTTTCTTAAAGTGTCAATGCTACATTGAAGACCATTAAGGGCCAGGGCTGTAGTCTAAATGGATAATTTTTCTATACAGATATGAATCAAGGGACAACCACATAAACAGACATAGATCAAGCTGAAGCATGTCACTAAATGGGAATTCCTTTGAAAATTACTTACACTACTCAATCTATTACAAATTGTAGAATAAACAAAATACAAGCACATGCAATTTCCTACATTTTTTCTTTGGTAGAAAATTATTCCAATGAAATCTGTTATCAGCAAAGCATATCGTTTAACCTGGACTTGTTCCTGGAAACTTTGTGCGGCTGTCAGTTTTTTAAATGTAATTTTATAAAATCTTGAGTACCACAATATAGCTACTGAGGCAGTGGCAGAGATCTCAAAATCAGGGGAAATAAAACTGAAACTGCATGCGAGATACTACAAGGGTTACATTTGAAAATATTTTCTGTGATTTGGGTGAGCTGACCTTTTAAGTTCTTGCTCTCCCCCATCAGCTGTAAACTGTGAAGACATGTTGATTTGTACTCCATTGCTGCATTTAATGTGACTGCTAAAGATCATAGATTTCACATTAAATTAGGATATTGCTGCTTTGCAAAAACAGCCACACTAATGTGTCAGTTAAAATCCCACAGGAAAAGAAGTATGTTTACATCAACAAATGTCAACATTCGCCACGACATATAGTCCATACGAATTAAGCTTAAAAAGTTACCTGATCCACCAAACTGACTGCTGGCGAGTGTCATTGTCCTGTTCTTCCCATTGGCTACTGGAGGCGCAAACATCTACAAGACAAAAGAGGAAAGATACCGTGACTAACAAAGCAAAGGATGGCACACTTCACACTTCCTATTTCCACTAATAAACAACATCACATACACAGGTCGTTCAGTTGTCGTGTGCCCCCCCCCCCCCCAGCCATCTCAGTTTTGGATCAATCTAAAGTGAGATATAAACTAAAAAATATAACATTTTAAAACATGTGATTTCACCATGAGTAAGACGACTTCCAGCATTACAGTAAAACTTGTTGGTAAAAACGATCAAGTTAAAAGCATTGTTAAGGTCTTTATATGCAACAAAAAAACAACAACAAAAAAAAAAACACACACACACACACACACACCCACACACACACACACACACCCCTAAAAAAATAAGCAATCCCTATTATATAATTTTAAAGAGGTACATTTTCCCCCAAAACAAATATACAGCATTACGAAATTCGACCTTTCAAACATGTTTTCATATAAAACCTGACGCATCAACTATTGTTCAAAACACTCTGATGAGGCCATGGGTTTCATCACCGAGCCACTGTGGGCATTACCATGAGGCTATGGTGTGGTCGAAATATCTGCTATGTGGCATCTTTCTGTGACGTGGCCAAACTCTACTGTACAAACCAAACCGTTTTGTAACTAGGACACCATAACACAATCTGCCGCAACCACATATGTATCACATATCTCGCTCTTTATTTTTTAAACAGGCTAGGTCTTCGCAGTCAAACAACCAATTTGGACACCATATTTGATTCCGTCGCAGATATCTCAAAACATTTTTTTAGTTGTAGTAGCATGCATTTCTTTGACCTGCCAGCAAATAAACAAAGAGGAGAAATTTTGTTTGTGTATTGTTTGACAGTTGTCATATTTAGACTGAACATCTGCTGATACAATTTGGCAACTGATCAATCTGAGCTTTTCTAACACAAACCCAAGTGTCTAATGAGAACCTCCTATAAACCCCCTTCCCAACAGGGAGTGTTTTTCTTTCATGGGGTAAGTTTTCCTTCAAATACCGATGGTGTGGCAGAGAACAGGACTACATTAACAAGGCAGCTGACTCTACCGTGCAAGTCATCATAATAGAGCTTCAACAATATCCATGCACAACAATGCCTTTAAAAAAAAAAATATATATATATATATAAAAAAAACACAAAATAAAGCTAGTCCTTTTATTTCACAGTGTTACACATCACAAAATATAAGTGACTCTTACAATATTATAAATACTTGTGATAATCACTATACATTGTCAAAAGAAATCTCATGAGACATTAGGTCTACTGACAAATAATCATTAGGAGTCACAGTTTGGATTTACCTGTTGTGCCCCATATATAATAATTATCCGCGCTGGCAACTTAGCTTTACCAGCCTATCAATTTATTTTGGAGAAGACAAAAAACTAACACAGCTCCACTGGGCCTGTGACATGTTTATGTCAGCGTAAAGCTCAACAAAGGCTTCTCAACAAAATGAAACACAGGTAAATAAAAAGCTGAACAGGATACCTCTAGCCACTTTGTAGATAATGTCTAGAGGATACCTCTGTGAACATGTCTTCCTAAAAGACTAAAAATATGACAAGGAGAAATACAGAAGCTGTCTCCTCAACCCAGTTCATATATATAAACAACATTTCCCCCCTCAGGTTCTGTAAACAAGACGAACAGGGGTGAAATCATATTCAGTTTCATGCAGTCTTTCCTGATTCACTATTTACATTTTACAGTGGATACCAATTCATTGTAGTAGGGATCCACTTCGGTGATGCTGTATCTCTGCATCACCTACATAATTAAATAACCTATATTTAAAACCTGAATTCATTTTCACCAGTCACCCTGAGGTATAGAAGTATTTTACTTGCCATGCTTTGATGTAATCAGCACTACTTCTGCATGCCAAGAATGAAGAATGGCAATATCTTGAGCTGACACAACCTATTGTTTAAAAAAAAAAAAAAAATTCCAAAATTTCTGTTGCAGATTTTGAGAAAACAAGCTTCACACTGATTTTCTTTCCTCGCCCCCTTCCCCACCTCTCTCATTCAGACCTCCAGCTTTCTTCTGCCCATACCCAGACCTGTATCGCACTCTCTTTAGCTCTTCCTCCCAATGCCACCCAGAACCACCCAGACTGCTCTCCCACTCTCTTACCGCACTGAAATCCAGGAGGTCGCTGAGTTCCTTGTCAGTTCCCACTGCAGCCATTCTTTGCTGCTGTTCGTTCATACCCTTCAGTCTCTAATAAACCCTATGAGAGAAATTTGCAGATACAGGATTTTAATGGCACTAGCAAGCACAAAGAGAAGTTACATGTAGCTCTTAAAAAACAAAGAGG